CTTGTAAGGCTGGTCCTTGGCTAGTATCTAGGAACCTGGATTTTGGAAACATTCCTTTCATTCATTCATTTTTTTTTTTTTTGTACTGGGACTTTAACTGAGGGCTTAAGTGCTATCCTTTGAGGCTTGAACTCGGGGCTTGGGTGCTGTCCCTGAGCCACACATCCACTTCCAGCTTTTTTGGTAATTCATTGGTGATAAAAGTGTCACAAACTTTCTTGCTGGGGCTAGCTTTGAACCGTGATCCTCAGATCTCAGCCTCCTTAGTAGCTAGGATTACAGGTTTGATCCACCAGCACCTAGCAGTTTCCTTCCATTCTTTAAGGCACAAAGAAGGGATTATTATGACTAAATTTTTTGTGTGAACAATATGTGTATGCTGAACATCTGCTTTCCTTGTGGAAGGAAGCCTGGAATGTTGGTAAATACAAGAGAGCAGATCCCTATGTAATCAGCCTTCATGGTGTGTGGCCATATTGGGTCACTGTTAACCTATATTACCTGGTTAGTGTACAACCTGCATGGGACACTCTCACAACTATAAATTCTGTGTTTGCAGGGGTGTCACACTGAGATGGTAGATTGGGTTAATAAGTTACATAGTTCAGTGGATTAGTTAGGACCTAGGACTCCTGGAGAACATCTTGCAGTGGAAAGGATTATAGGTTTGGCCAAGGGAAAGCCACATCAGAAAAATCAAGATTGTTTAAAAAATTCCCAGCCACAGAAAACTGTCCTGCCTCCATCTTTCTTAGTCTTCTTAGTGATGTATGGTCTTAGTTGGGGGGCGGGGAGGGGACTACAGGAAGCACAGACAATTCCCAGTTGAGAACTACAGTTTCAGATGATCATAGAAGATAGAAAAGGGAATAAGCCTGTTTCAATGAGTTTCAGGTCCACAGTGACTCTTCTGATTGATCATTTATCTTATACCTCATTTGCATAGGAGTGAGCAATCAAAGCACAACCAGAGGAATAAAAACCCCTAGACTCCATCACTTGAAGGCGCAGCTAGCAACCTTCCACTATGACACTTCTCTGCTGAATAAGGTTTATACTCGCCAGATGCTGGTGGCTTGCACCTATAATCCTAACTACTCAGGAGGCTGAGATCTGAGGCTCATGGTTCAAGGCCAGTCTAGGCAGGAATTCCGTGAGACTCTTAAATCTAATTAACCACCAGAAAACCAGAAAATCAGAAGTGGTGCTGTGGCCCAAAGTTGTAGAGCACTAGCTTTGAGCAAAAAAGAGCTCAGAGATAGTGCCCAGGACATAAATTCAAGCCCCCTGACTAATAACAACAAAAAAGTTTACACTCACCCTTTGTCATCCATGGACTTCATTTGTCAAGCATTCTCAAGACAAGAATTTAAAAAAGTGATAGTGGCGACAGCAAAGCAGCAGCACTATTAGGTTGTGTCAGCTGCTGAGTTGTAACACTAGTAGGTGATGCCTGTTACAGGGCTACCACACTAGCAGGCAGCCACAGAGTCACTTGAATAGACTCTGCCCATTTTGAACAGGTTAAAAAAAACAAAAACCTATCAACATATGTCCTCTGCACATATGCCTATGCTCTATGGCAGTACTGCCTTTCCCTGGAAGGATTTTGATTTCTGCATAGAATTGTGCTAGCCTGCATTGAGGCCTCAGGCCAGGATGATAAAGTTGACACAGAAATTTAAGGAGTAAACCATCTGGCCTGCTTAGACAGACTCTTTGTTGTTGTTGTTGTTGGTGGTGGTGGTGGTGGTGGTGGTGGTGGTGGTGGTCATGGGGTCTGAACTCTGAGCCTGGGCACTTTCCCTCAGCTCTTCAGCTCAAGGCAAGTGCTCTACTTGAGCCATAGCACCACGTCTGGCTTTTTCTGTTTATATGGTGTTGAGGAATTTAACCGGGGGCCTTATGTAAGCAAGACAAGCACCTACCACTGAGTCACCTTCCCAGCCCAAGGTCCAGACTTTTATGGTTAATGAGATTTGTTTTAACTGGGTAAACCGAGGAATAACTGAGGGAACTAATGGGAATAACTGCAATTTAGTTCTCTCCTACTGCACTGGGTCCTGCTGATAATTTTTCTGTACATCTTTTGAACCCACTATCCCAGCTCATTGTTGGAAGTGTAGGAGTGTCCTATACAACTCCCCTGGAAGACGACTCTGGGAAGTTTGAACATGGACTGTATTCTAAGGACTTTGTCCTATGTACCTTTCTCTTGGCTGGCTTTGCTTCACCTTTCCTCTATAATTAATGATAGTTGCAAAGACAACTAAATGCTTACTCCTTTGATTCCTCCCAATAAACCACTGAGCCTGCAGTGGACCTGAGAACCCCCAACACATGCCCCCTAACATTCCATGGCCTAAAGCTAGTCCAAGTAGCCAAAGTTGCTTTTCTGATCTTTTGTTACTTTTCAACTTTTCTGAGCCAGGCCCCACTTTTCCAGTTACACCTGATTTGAGGTTCTTCCATCCCCAGACTCCATCCTCATCTTTTCTCCACTCTGGGGCACTTTGTTTCCCCTCACACTTAAATGCAAACCCACGTGGGCTTTATCATCCCATATGCCCACATCCCTTCCCAGTCTTCTTTAATCTCTGAAAGTTGTCAGAAAAATAAAACTAACTATAGGGAACCCAAACACTAATAGCTACCCTTTGTTTTACAGCGTTACCAAGGTTAGCCTGGTTTACTTTCAAATATATGCAAACACATTTAAAACTGTGTATAGCCACACAAAGAGCCTGTAGTCCTAATCATACAACAGAACATAGAGTAAGGTGAGCCTTAAACTTTCTGACCTAATAAGGTAGTACTCTAGATCAAAATACTCACCTAGAGTGTTCTCTACAAAATACATGGCCACTAACATGAAATGCACTAGCACAAACAATAGTCATAACTTACATACTATCAGTTGAAGGCCAGAATAGAAAAGACTGACCTTTCCTAAAGAATGGGACTACTTTGTCAGATGGATTTCAGAGTTCATTGCAATGTGAGTTCTTCCTGAGCTTACAACATACTGCCTTTGACTCAAAGAAAAACAGCCCTGTTCTGAGTCTCTGCCACTCAACCCACTGGCATTGTAATAACCAGCGGGTCCCCATAATCAGCGTGGCTCAGTGGCCTGGCCCACTGGAGGGGGCGGGACATCGAGGGGCTGACGTCACCGCCCCAGGGGGCGTGCCTCCGGAGGGGCGTGCCTCCGGAAGGGGGCGGGGCGCAGCCTATATATAGGCTGCGAGTTGCAAGTCGGAAGCCTTTCTCCCAGAGGAGAGGAGAGTAGGGGAAAGATAGGGAGTCCTGGAGGGAGTCCTGAGGAGAGCAGGGGGAGAGAGCAATGAAGAAGTAGAGCGATGGAGAGGGGAGACACGGAGTGGAGAGACAGCAGGAGGGAAAGCCTGCTGTAGTAGAGCAGGGCAGGGCAAGCCTCCAGAAGCCATTTGGGTCTCCTCTGGAGGTCATTTGGGACCTTCCTGTAGGAGGCCTGAGGAGAGGCTCCTCCCGGAGCAGAGCAGGGCAGGCCTGTGGAGAGTGGAGAGGCCTGCAGAGGAGGAGGAAGGCCAGAGCGGGAGAAGCCTTCCCCTTTGGGGCTTTGGAGCTTTGGAGGTCTAAAGTTTGCAGACTGACTAATTGGTGGTTTGCAGACCAAACTAATAAAGGTCAGGGGGTCGGGGCTGCCTATTGGAGGCTTGGGGGTTTGGTGGTTGAAGCTGCTCTTGGTTCTGGGTATCTAGCCCAGGAAGAAGTAGTTGCAGGCCCCCTTTCTGGTGTAAATAGTGTAAATACACTTCTTTTGTTCACCTTTCACTGTGCCTCGATGGATTGTCTTGCTCTTTTGAGGTCATAAGTGGGTCTCCTATCAACCCACATTCACAGAAGTAGTTCCTTAAAACAAGTGTCTTCCTTCATACACACACACACACTTGTTCTATTTCTGTAGAGAACCCTGACAAATGCAGTTTCTCAAAGTACTGGGTTTTGGGGTTTGGGTTTTTTTTCCTTTAGTTATACAAAGAGGTTTCAATTCAACAGGTCAGTTTATGAATACAGTACATCTTGATCAATGTTACCCCTTCCATGGTTCTCCTTCTCCCCTATTTCTCCCAATTCCACCTAACTCTTCAATTCACCTGCTTCCATTTTCACAAATGTACATTAAACATTATGACTGCATTTGCCCACCTCTCTTCTCTCTATAAGGACTTCTTTCCAGTAGCTCTGTATCTACTGGCTTTCAGGTGTGAGTCAGAATGCTGAAACTTCTGGAGATATTTCTCAGATCTTTAGGTACTCCAAGTGACAGTCTTTCCCATAGCCAACTAAATAGGGACTGGAGAATGAGGAGAGAATAATCAAACACTTTCAAAACAGATTATAGTTGATCATGTGGAAACACTGGCACTGTATACCCATCTAGCATTGTTTTGTAGCTTTTTCATACATATTTGGTGAACAGGAAGATAATCCACATCCTAAATGTATGCCTCCTAGAATGGTAAAGAACATAAAATATCGAGCATACAAAAGACGTTTATAGTCTGGATTCTTGTCTTCTTTGTAGTATTTATATAACTACATAAGACTGTAACTATAAAACCTACTCTACCACTACCAAAACTACCATACCTTAGAATTTTTAACCAAACAAAATGTTCTTATCCTGGCATCGCTCAAATCTCCTGTCCTGGCAAAAACAATTGCCAAATCCTGGGTTTGCTGGGGAAGGCGGAGGAAAGCTTTGGCTCCGCCCCTTCACCCTTCTCCTGGTTCCCAACTGGCGGAAGGAGAGAGCACTCCAACCAATCAACGTTCCACAAGGGCCACCTCCCGCGCGTCTTTCAAAGGCTTCCTAGGAACCAATAAGCGGCTGGAGATTGAACCCGAGCACCCGGAGGCGGAGTAAGAAGTGGAGGTACGGTCTGATTGGTTGCTAGAAGACGCTTAGCCCCACCCCTAATTAGGATGCACCAATGACTTGAGAGGAGGGACGAGCTCCGCGCGGGACTTACAGCCGCAACCGCGGCCGGGACGGGCAGCCGTAGTGTGGAAGTAGCTACTGGAGGCAACGCGGCCCGAGCGTTCAGCTGCCAGTGATGAAGCCGGTGAGTGGGACTGGCGGGCGGAGTTTGGAGGAGCACTGCCCCAAGGACCAAAGTAGACCCTACGTCCAGCTCTTAGAATGGGCGGGCCTGGTCGCCACGGGAGTTGCAACCGCCCCCAGGGTTGCGGAGGCGGCGCTCCACTGCGAGGGAGCCGGACCCCAGGAGAGGGGCGAGGGGAAGTGGGCGCCTGCTGCGGGCTGTCACCCGTTTCCTGTGGGAGGGGTCATAAGCTCTGGACAGCCTTGTCAGTGAGGACAGACCTACGTTTTACCTGGGAAACTGAGGCACGAGGAGTCGTTAACGTGATACCTCGGGGGGGGGGGGTCGGAGGGGAGCACGCTGCACCTGTCAGGCAGGACCCATCAGCGCTCATGTCACCTCGCGGCATCCCAGCTACCACGGCCACCCAGCACATCACCCTCCCCCGGGTTTCCCTGTCCCTGGGCTTGGGTGAAAGCAGAAATGACCCGCCTGTTGGGATTTCTACACACCTGGCTGGGAGGGGGGTGGGGGGAAGGGGAAGGGGAAGAATAAATTTTGTATCTTATTTCATCGAAATTGCTAGAAAGTAAAAAGGGGAGGAGCAGAGACGTTGGCCAGAAGCTGAAGCCCATCCTGACTCCTCTTACCTGCCTCTAAGGTTGACCTACCTATTGAAGGGTCTGTTGATCATAGTACTACAGATCCAAAACAACTAAATAGCTAAATAGCTTAAACTGGCTTCTGCCAGATAACAAACAGCACCGTTACAGAACACAGCTTCAGAACTAGACAGGGCATTCGGCGGTTACACTTGCTAACCCCAGTTTCAAGTGGGAAGAAGTCACCTGTCTTTCCCTTCAGGCCTCTTTCTCCACTTGTCATCGCCAGAGGGGAAGAGTGAGTTATCTGATCTCCAAGTTCAAGAGAAGGAAAACAGCGTTTCCTTAGGAGACCTACCTGCTGGCGTTTCTACTGGAAAGAGCTTTTCTGGTCCAGCAACTCTAGGTTGTTGATCACTATCTGTAATTGGGCAGATCATTCTGTTTGATTTTAGCAAGGGAAGTAGCAAGCTCACCTAACTATTGGGCTGTAGTTGAAACATTGAGCTGCATTTTTTTTGTTGTTCTTTTGACGATCGTAGGACTTGAACTCTGGGCCTGGGCACTGTCCCTCAGCTTTTCAGCTCAAGGCTAGCGCTCTACCACTTGAGCCACAGTGCCACTTCTGGTTTTCTGAGTGTTTTATTGAAGATAAGAGTCTCAGGGACTTGCCCTGGGCTGGCTTTGAACTGCGATCCTCAGATCTCAGCCTCTGGAGTAGCTAGGATTAAAGGGGTGAGCCACTGGCACCTGTCTGACCCTTTTATTTTGATATCACAGTTCCTGGTTAAAAAAAAAAAAAAAAAGCCCTTTGTCTGAATTTTCTTAATCATCATCTTCCCCTTTGCCTAGAAACAACCCACTCTTTCAAACCAGTTTAACCATCTCTGTGAAACCTGCAGCTCTCTAAGTAGTCATTTCCTTCTGGGCTCTACATCACATGGTTTCTACTCTAGTTTAAACCTTTTTCCTGCAGTTCACATGCATGTCCTCTCCCTCCTATTCCCTGGAGGCAAGCTGTATACTTACGGATGGTTGCAGTTCCAGGGTGTGGCAGATGAAGGTGTTCAAGAAAAGTTTGTGAATGAATCAACAAATTCTTTCCCTTTATACCTGAGAAAAACTGAGATCCAGGATAAACAAGTCTTTAAGCTAGGACTGCCTATGCTAAAACTGTGTAAACATAAGTTAACTTCTTCTTTTGAAGCCTATTTCAATACAAGCAAGTGAATTTGACTCCTCAGATGAAGAGCCTGGTGAAGATGAACAGACTCCAATTCAGATTTCTTGGTATGTAAGCACTTATAATCAATCTCTCTCTCTTTCTCTCTCTCTCTCTCTCTCTCTCTCTGCCAGTCCATCCTGAGCTTCTTGTTTTGCTCAAGGCTAGCATTCTTATCACTTGAGCCACAAAGCCACTTCTGGCTTTTTCTGTTTATGTCTTTTAAGACAAAAGAAATAGTGTGCCAGTTGCCCGTGGCGCACACCTGTAATCCTAGCTACTCAGGAGGCTGAGATCTGAGGATCTTGGTTCAAAGCCAGTGCAAGCAGGAAAATCCATGAGAATCTTATCTCCAGTAAACCACTCAGAAAACCAGAAATGGCACTGTGGCTCAAGTGGTAGAGCACTTGCCTTGAGCTGAAGAGCTGAGGGACAGCGCCCAGACCCAGAGTTCAAGCCCCATGACCGACAAAAAAAGAAAAGAAAAGAAATAGCCTATCATTTATCATTAAGTTAATTCTAGATAATGCTTGGAATTATATGTCATAGAACTGCATCTGTTGGCAGACTATTAAAGATAAAATCCACATTGGGCTGGGAATGTGGCTTAGTGGTAGAGTGCTTGCCTAGCAGGCATGAAACCTTGGGTTCCATTCCTCAGTACCACATAAACAGAAAAAGCCGGAAGTGGTACTGTGGCTCAAGTGGTAAGAGTGCTAGCCTTGAACAACAACAAAAAAGCTCGGGACAGTACCCAAGACCTGAGTTCAAGCCCCAGAACTAGCAAAAAAACAAAAACAAAAATAAAGCACATTGATAATTATATCAATCAAGTGCATGTAATTAATCAAGTGCATATAATTAATCAAGTGCATCTATAGAAAATCAACTACCAAGTCATATCCAATGGCTTATGGTTTTGTCAGATTCTCTGGAACTGGCAGTTAAATATTTCTCTCCTCAGGAAAGCACTATCCCCTACTGGAAGGGAAAAGGAGTACTGAGTATCAGTCTCTAATGTTCCTTTATTTTGTCATCGAGTATAATTACTTTTCTTTTTCCCCTTGAAGCCACCATTATTTTCCCTCCAGTTATGGGGCTTGAACTCAGGGCCTGGGTGCTGTAGCTGAGCTCTTCCACTCAAGGCTAGCATTCTGCCACTTTGAGCCATAGCTCCACTTCCAGTTTTCTGGTGCTGAATTGGAGATGAGAGTCTCATGGACTTTCCCGCCCTGTCTTTGAACCATAATCCTCCAATCTAAGCCTGCTGAATAGCTAGGATTACAGGCGTCTGCCACCAGTGCCTGGCTTGATGCCACCTTTTAAGCTCAGAAACCCAACTAATTTTTGATGGCAGATGGTAGTTAAATGATGTCTCTTGTTTTCCTCTAAATTCATCTGCTGACTTGCCAACAAGGTGAGCCTCTGTCCCTGAAATCTGCAAACTGGGATTGTGATTTCTTGGAATTATTTCATTAGATCAAAATCAATGACAAGAAATGGGTGGCCTATGTTTTTCATGATATAAAATTATCTGCTAAGGGCTAGGAATGAGGCTTAGTGGGAGAATGTTTGCCTAACATGCATGAAGCCCTGGATTCCATTCCTTACTACCACAGATAAAGCCAAAAGTAGCACTGTGGCTCCAGTGGCAGGGTGCTAGTCTTGAGCAAAAGAAGCTCCGGGACAGTGCCCTGGCCCTGAGTTCAAGCCCCACAACCAACCAAAAAATTATCTGCTAAGGTACTGATAAAAAAAATCTTAAAATAGTAATGTAAAAATGAACATTAAGGATGGAATTGTCAGATGGACATTTTTAACTCATTGACCTAAGATTACTGTGAACATCCTAACTTGAAATCTGAAATACTCTTAAAATTCATGTAGGCACTCAAAAGGTTATAGATTTTAGAGCATTTTGGATTTTGGATACTCAGATTAGGGAGGCTCAACTGGTAAATTCTATGGAAATATTCCAAAATTTAAAACCTCTGAAATCTGAGATTACATGTGGTCCTGGAGCTTTTCAGAAAAGTTACTCAGCCTGCAAAACACACTGGCTCAGGGTACAAAATACCAGAGGGTAACTTAGGTACACTGGGTACTACTAGCAGTCCAGGCATTGCTGTCCTTAAGGTGAATTTAAATTAACTTGCCATTTTAATCAAGTAAGTCCCTGTTTGAAAACTTCCAGCCTTTCTAGGCTATTTTATGCCTCACCTTTTGATATTAACTCTGTATTTTTGTTTTGTGGCTTCTATAAAACTTGCATTTAAAACATGCCTATCCAGTGGCAAGCCCTCATATGTATTAAGTTGAATTTCCATTTGACTTTTAAAAAACGGAACTGAACTTGATAAACTTTTCTTTTCAGGCTACCTCTATCACAAATAAATTGTTCTCAGTTTCTCGGTTTATGTGCTCTTCCAGGTAAGTAACAACTACATTTGTCTTCCTATTAATGTACTTAGGATAGTTTGGAGGGGTTTTTTTGTTTTTTGGTTTTTTGGGTTTTTTTGCTAGCTACCACATCACCAAGCAATAAGAGACTGTCATAGACCAGCACTGGGAAGTGATTTTTAGAAGCCTTCATGGTAGGTTATAGACAAAGGTTCATAGATCCACTTTTCTGCCCTTCCATATCTGTAGTATTCAGAGCTCTACATTTCTAATGTCTTATATCCTCATATTAATAGAACGTAAACTCTGGAGGCTGAGGATTCCAACCAGTAACAGAATAAAGAAATTTAGATCAGGAACTGCTTCAGCTACAATCTATGAATCCCTATAATTAAGAATCTAAGAAGCAGGGCACTGGTGGCTTATACCTGTAATTCTATTTAGTCAGGAGGCTGAGATCTAAGGATCGAGGTTCAAAGCCAGCCTGGGTAGAAAAGTCCCTGGAAGACTGTCTCCAATTAGCCACTCAAAAACTGGAAGTGGAGCTGTGGTCAATTGGTAGAGCACAAGCCTTGAGCACAAAGAGACTCAGGGACAGGGTCTGGCTTCTGAGTTCAAGTCCTACAACCAGAAAAAAAAAAGGTAGTAAGTTAAAATTAAATCCAAAACTGGAATTGGAATATACAAATGATCATATGGAATGATTTTCTAAAATAACTATTTGCATTTATATGACCAAAAACTGACTTTTTTTTGCTTGCCTTATTACTGCTTATAGGTTGTAAATTTAAAGATGTTAGAAGAAATGTTCACAAAGACACAGGTAAGTGAAATATGACACAACCTTACTAATATTTTAAAGCTAAAAACCTTGTCGAAAGGAATGACTTGTGTTCCTTCTCAAGCAAAGTAAGTATTCAGTATTTTGTGACATTTTTAAGCTATCAACTTATTGTAACATATGAAGAGGTATCTGTGAAGGTCAGAGAACTGATCATGTATCTAAACGCAACTTTGCCTTTCACTAACTATTGTAGTTATGTGAAGAAACTGTATTTGAGGTTAGAATGTGTAAGTTAGAGGTAGGAAAAAAAAATTTTTTTTTCAGTCGTAGGGCTTGAACTATGGGCCTGAACGCTGTCCCTCAGTTCTCAGCTCAAGGCTAGTGCTCTGCCACTTGAGCTACAGTGCCACTTGTGGTTTTCTGGTCGTTTATTGGAGATAAGAGTTTCACGGACTTTCCTGCCCAGGCTGGCTTTGAACTGAGATCCTCAGATCTCAGCCTCCTGAGTAGCTAGGATTACAGGTGTGAGCCACCGGCGCCCGGCTAGAGGTAGAAAATATTAAACATGGAACCTATGTTTCTTTGGGCCTGGCTTACTTCACTTAATATAATTTTTTCCCAAGTCTTTCCATTTCCTAACAAATGGGGCAATGTCATTCTTTCTGATGGAGGCATAGAATTCCATTGTGTATATATACCACATTTTCTTGATCCATTCATCTACTGAGGGGCATCTGGGTTGGTTCCATATCTTAGCTATGGTAAATAAGGCTGCAGTAAACATAGTCGTGCTGGTAGCTTTAGTGTGATCTTGTTTGTGAACAACTTTGGTGGGGGGGGAGGGAAGGGCTTGAGGGGGGGCAGTGGGGGAGGGAAATGGGATGGGAAGGGGAAACAAAGGAGGAGGCTACAATGCTTGATAAGAAATGTACTCATTATCTTGCCCATGTAATTGTAACCCCTCTGTACAGTATTTTCACAATTAAAATTAATTAATTAAACAGAGAAGTGACACATTGCATTGCCCAGATCTTTGCACATATCATCTCTTATACACTTGACTGTGGTAGTCAAGGAATTCAGGTAGGTAGGAATGTAGGCTGAGCAGCAGTGAAATTAAATTGTTCATGCTTGACAGAAAATATAGAAAGCTAGCATCCATGCCAGGATGTTCATAGCACAGCATCCTTAAGATTCATAATCTAGGGCTGAGAATGTAGCTTAGTGGTAGACTGCTTACCTAGCATGTATGAAGCCCTGGGTTCAATACCTCAGTACCACATAAACAGAAAAAGCCAGAAGTAGTACTGTGGCTCAAGTGGTAGAGTGCTAGCCTTGAGCAAAAGAAGCTCAGGGACAGTGCCCAGGCTTTGAGTTCAAGCCTTAGGACTGGCCAAAAAAAAGAAAAAAGAAAAAAAAAAATCCATAATCTACTCCAATGAGGAATTTACATACTGTGTAATATTAACAAATGTGGTTTTTCAAACTATTTTATTACGAATGGTCTGGAATATCTCATCTACTTATTTCTACCATCATTAAGATAGAGAAAATTAAAATGTATGTATTGCTTGATTCTGATCAGTATATATATATAATTTTTTTTCTTTTTTTTTTTTTTTGTCGGTTGTGGAGCTTGAACTCTGGGCCTGGGCACTGTCCCTCAGCTCCTCAGCTCAAGGCGAGCACTCTACCAGTTGAGCCACAGTGCCACTTCCGGTTTTCTAGTGGTTTACTGGAGTTAAGAGTCTCATGGACTTTCCTGCCTGGTCTGGCTTTGAACTGTGATCCTCAGATCTCAACTTCCTGAGTAGCTAGGATTACAGGTGTGAGTCACTGTCCCCCGGCAGATTTTTTATATCTTAATTTTTTTCTGGTTGTTTTGAAAAATCAGTTTGTTAGTATACTTTTTTTCCTTCCCCTAAAAATCTAAAACAGGACAATACCTGAGTTGACCATTGCTACGTTACTATTTATTTTATTTTACTGGAGAACAGTACTGGCTGCCCACTCAGCTTGCTTGCTCTGCTGGCATTCTACCACTTGAGCCACACCTCTAGTCCAGAGTTTTCATGGTTATTTTGGAGATGGAGTCTTGGGGACTTTTCTGCTTGGGCTGGCTTTGAACTGCCATTGTCCAGGTCTCAAAATGTTTTATATCTTAAATTCCATTCAAGATCTCATTGCAAAAAAAATTTTTTAAGAGTTTTTTTTAATGAGCAACTTCAGCCCAGCACTGGTGACTCATGCCTGTAATCCTCAGGGATTGTGATTCAAAGCCAACCCAGGCAGGAAAGGCTGTGAGACTCTTATCTCCAATAACCCACTCAGAAAACCCCAGAAATGGTGCTGTGGCTCAAATGGTAGAGCACTAGCCTTGAGCTGAGGAGCTAAGGGACAGTGCCCAGGCCCAGAGTTTAAGCCCCATGACCAACAAAATCAAACAAACAAATAAAAAAAAAAAGATTTCTTAATTATAGTGCAGGGAGAAAAGCATGTAACTAAAATGTAATTAACAAGGTCCAAGCCACCTAGCCAAAGCGAGAACTTTAAAAAAAATTACCTCAAATTAATAGGAAGAAAACTACTTTGATAGAAAAGACATTTTTTTCTCAAAGTAGACATTCCAAAATGAACAAAACTGGTCTTGAACCAATTATTTAAATTGTATTTTATTTACTATTTAAATGTTCTCCAAATGGAAGTTTCCTGTCATGATGGATGTGAATGAGGCAGAAAAATCTTTACAAATACAGCAAGGGCACTAAAACCTAGGCTGGAGGCATGGCTCAAGTGGTACAGAGCTAGGAGAACAAACAAGCTGAACAAGCATGAGACCCTAAATTAAAACAGAAGAAGGGAAGGAGGGACTGTACAAAATGTCCTTGGATAGAGAGCTTCAAGATCAGCCTGAATTATCTGCTTTGACCCATATACTTCACTGAGAATACTGCCACAAGGAAGTTCTAGAGTATAGAATTCCTGTAGCATATTTCATAGCTCATATGGTTGCAAAGAAAATAGCTAAGCCAAGTAAATTTAATAGAATTAATGGTTGTTGAGAGCCCTAGTTCATAAAATTAAATACCCAGTGGTGTGGCAGAGTGCAGATATGAGGAAAAATGAAAGAGCCCTAGCCCTGCCATGCTTACATGAAAACAAACAGCAGAATGGTAAACCAGCAAGCTTGATTTTGTGAGGGAAAAATTTTTAAATGTGCTATCATTCCTTCTCAACAGCTTATTTATCATGTGTTTTAAGTTTATTTTAAAGCAGCATTTATTGCCTTTTTATGCAAGAACAGCAATATAATTGCCTTGATATTGAGTAGAAAGCATTTGACTTACAAATCAGTGTGGTTTAATTCTAACCATCTATGGGTTCAGATGTTCTCAATAGCCATTACAACATATACAAATTATCACCTGTTATTAGTGAGGCTTAAGAATGTCAGCACCTATTATCTACTTGATCATGTTTACATTTGTCATGTCTGATGTGTATGTCTGTGTGTATCTTGGTCTGTTGACAGAAGAACTAAGGAGCTATGGTATACAGGACATATTTGTTTTCTGCACCAGAGGGGAACTGTCAAAATATAGAGTCCCAAACCTTTTGGACCTCTACCAGCAGTATGGAATTATCACTCATCACCATCCGATCCCAGATGGAGGGACGCCTGACATAGACAGGTGCTGGGAAATAATGGAGGAGCTTGCAATCTGCCTCAAAAACAACCGCAAAACCTTGATACAGTATGTTCTCCTTTTCTCCATATGCTATCCACGAGATGTCTCCTTGTTCAGTTACTTCCTACCTCCTACTTCTGTCAAAAGGATTAGAAAGGCATAATGTACAACGTCTGACACAGGGACAGCACCCATATAACCACCGTGATTGTCAAGAGGAAGGGCAGAAAACACGGAGACTAGAAATGTTTAGAAGAAAACAGCAAGCTTGTTTTTCTTTTTTCCTTTTGTTTTTGACTTTTAGTGGCAGTTTGGGAAAACCACCCTCACCGCCCACAAACAAGTACTGTCACCAACAAAGATGGGGCCTTATTCTTGTACTATACTATTATTTGCTAATATCAGTTAGCTTATCACTTGCTTAGTTGCTTTATTAGCAGTCAAATTATTGTTTGCAAAACACACAGGGAAAAAAATATCACTAAGTAATGAGCAATCTTAAAACACTATGACTTGAAATTTACATTTAATATCTAACTTTTCTACCAGAATGAAATAGGCCTCTCATTCTTTGTTGGTGGCTACAAAAATACAAGTTGCTGATCTGAATGTTTACAATCAACTAAAATAAGTTAAGGCTTGGAGGAAGTAGGAGTGAGTAGTCATGGGCAGTAGATTCGAGCATCACAAAGATTAGGATAATTAACAATAAATGCTCTGCCAGAAGGCAGACATGCAGAGCAAGTGTCTGTCTTTCACTGTTAATGTTGTTCAGTTTGTATCCCTATAAGCCATTTATGCTTTGGAACAAGGGCAGGTACTTCCAACTACTAATATCTAAGGGGCCATTGTTTTGTGGTAGAGATATATAAGCTATACCAGTAGCCACCTCAGTCTTAAGGAACCTAGTGAAAGGGTAATTTCAGCCAACATCTCTCCTTAAACCTACAGCTTAGAGTCAGGTGCTGGTGGCTCACGCCTATAATCCTAGCTAATCAGGAGGCTGAGATCTAAGGATCTCAGTTCAAACCCTGCCAAAGAAGAAAAGTACCTGTGTGACTCTTATCTCCAAGAAATTACTCAGAAGTGGTACTTATGACTCAAGTGGTAGAGCCCTAGCCTTGAGCAGAAAGAGGCTCAGGGGCAGTACCCAGGCCCTGAGTTCAAGCCCCAGAACTGGGGGACAAAAATCTACTTTGAGGAATCTCATGCCAGTAGTGCCACTTCTGAGGGAAAACCACCAGTACAAGGGACTTCAGTGATATAACAACGTGATCAAGCTAACTTGATACACAGAAGCAACAGCTTGCAGAATAGGCAATAAAGAATTAGAAGTCATCCTGCAGCTGACATTTTCCATTCTTTCTCTAGGGAAAAGTATAATCTCTCATCTAGTTCTAATTATAAGGATAAAATTTCGGAAGATACAGTTGTCTATACTTAAAAATAATATTAGATGCAGCGAGTGAAAAAGATTTCCCCATTTTTTTAGGCTTCTTTTGTGAAACAGTTCTAAGATTTTTGTGGTTTTTTTCTCCAAATAAATTTTTGAAAGCAACACCTATTGAAAAGTTTCCAAAGATCAAGCCAGTTCCATTGAAGAGATCTTAACAAATTTTACTCTAGCCAGCTCAGCAAATTAGATGCCCCAGTGTTTGAACAGAATACAAACAAGATGACCAGATGGACAAGTGATCTTCCCTAACTAGAACATTTCAGGTCCCATTTAAAAAAGGCGAGGAGGCCGGGTACCAGTGGCTCACGCCTGTAATCCTAACTACTCAGGAGGCTGAGATCTGAGGATCGCAGTTCAAAGCTAGCTCAGGCAGAAAAGTCCCAGAGACTCTTATGTCCAGTTAACCACCAGAAAACTGGAAGCGGCACTGAGGCTCACGCAGTAGGGTGCTCACGTTGAGCTGAAGAGCTTAGGGACAGTGCGCAGGCCAAGAGTTCAAGCCCCACACCCAACAACAACAACAACAAAAAGGCGATGAGAGTTCTGGTGTTTGGATTTTTCTTGTTTTAGAGTTTTCAGAGTTCTCTTACAATTACTACTTTATTTGGATAAAGATGATTTTTCATATATGTATATATACTGTTGTTAGGTGTTCACAATGCTAGACAGCCACAATGCCTACCTTAGAACAGGATCTAGTAGCTTTTCCATTGTCCTATTCTCTGCCAGCACTCACTGGTTCTGCCCAGGAATTTTTCACCCTTTATAAAAAGCAGTGAACAGTTTACCTACTGTTATTACATTGTTTCCTTGGGCTCTTATAACACAGGAGAACAAAGTAGATGGCTTATAAAACACAGAAATTCACTCTCCTCCAGTTCTAGAGACTAGAAGTTCAAAGTCAAGCTGTCAACAGAGCCATGATCTGAGACCCTGTGTAGAAGCCCTCTTTGCCTCTTTCCTAGCTTTTAGTAGTGTTTATCTATCCTATCATTCCTTGGCTTGTAGCTGCATCACTCCAGTCTGTCTCTGTCATCAAGGGACTCCCTCCAGGTTGTCTTTTATCTTCATATGTGTTCATCTTACAATGATAGTATATCGGGTTAGCACCCATCCCAATAACCTCATTCAATTAAATTTGCGAAGATCTATTTCTGAATAAGGTCACATGCATAGGTAACTGGGACAAGGATCTCAGCATGCCCTTTGAACTTCAGGCCTTGCCCTTGATACACAAGAACCTTACCACCTGAGCCATGCCCCTACCTCTCAGCATATTCTTTCAAAGAACATAACTGAACCTGTATCACCTACTGTGGATCAAACACTGAAACTACAAGAAATCCAAACCTAACAGCACTACATAAAAGTGCAATAAAAGCATACCACACAGGACAGTGATGGTTCTGTAGGAACACAGACATTTCAGGAAATGACATTTGAGCTGGGTTTGGAAGATGAATGGGAATTCACTAAACGGCTGATGAAAGTATCCCAAGGTGTACAGTAGTATTAATCTAGAGGAAACCTACTGAAGTGATCAACATTTCTCAACATGTATATGGTAGATCCAGATCTCTATGAAACAAGCTTACATTTGGGATACTTTGTGCAATTCTGGAGTCAGTACCTATTTGGCCTTTCATCTCACATCCTCTCATATACATATCTATAGATTAACCTACAATACTCTACTGTAATTGAGTTCATGATAAGTCATCAGTACTAAATTAGGTCATTAGTACTAAATCTTCTAAGTCAGAAGATATGAAAGGATTCTTGAAATTATTTAAATGACTGATTTTTTGCAACTTAAATTCTCATTTTCCTGGAAAACCTAATTTTGCTCATTTCTTCATAATGCTAGATAATAACAGCCAACATTCATCTTTTCAGCTTACCACATTCTATTGTAAGCCCTCTACAAATGCTGCCACAGTCAGCCCTCCTGCAGGCATAGGTCTACTGCTAGCCCCATGATAGGAAAGAAGGCAAAGCCCAGAGAGCCTGAAGAACCCTCTTGCTTTGCCTACCTAGCAAAGGGCAGAGCCAGAATCCACACACTCACTGCTCAAAGCCTCTGTCTACTACTATGAACAGATTTTCGAGATAAGTGAAAGGGCTATTGTATGGATACTATTTACTCCATAATTATTAAGGTTTTGTTTAAAAACACAGGAAAATAAAATAGGCAGTTGGTGAAGTCTAATTCTTATGATTAATAACACGCTTCATTCTTCACTGTGGATCTGGAACATGAAGGGGGCAATAAAAGGCATTCCCTGCCTTGCCCCTTAGAGGTATTCAGAATACCTCTGCACAAATAAGCACCTCTGGCTTTTGGTTAATTAAACAATCTTTGTAAGTGAGGCACTATGCTGAACATTAGAGATACCTAGCAGGAAGTGCAAGTGACTGTAACTTGGAATGGAAGAAAAATTTATAAACTTCAAAACTGTATTTCCCTTTCAGCTGTTATGGAGGCCTTGGAAGATCCTGTCTGGGTAAGAACTGTTTTCTCATTATTCCTTTAACCTCCAAGTAGGCAAACCCCTGGCTATAGGCTCACTTTATAGCAAATTGAGACAAAACTCAATGTTTGCCAAAACATAAAGGATTACTTAAGGCCCTGAACATCATGGCAGCAGGAGGTAGTTTCAGCTTTGTTGTAGAGGATTCTACAAAACACCACTTAAAAGTCTTAGCACCTGCATTGTTTTTGCTAATACTCCCTATGGATGTATGAATCTGACAGTAACTTCTAAATAATGGATAGCATAAGTATAAAGACTAATTATTTACCAAATGTTAACTTCAAAACTTTTCCAAAAACTTTGCTATGAAAAAAATTGGTAACATGTCTCACTAGAGGAGGTTATTCCTTTCAGTGCTAAACAAGATCAAAATTAACTTGTTCATTCAAAGGACACTATTAAAATGAAAAGACTGCCGACAAAACAAATGAAACTATTTGCAAAACCATGTATTGGATAAAGGACTTGTGTCTGGATTATATGAAGTACTTATATAACTCAGTATAAAAAGACAGCTCATTTTTTTATTTTATTTTGCCAGTCCTGGGGCTTGAACTCAGAGCCTGGGCACTGTGCCTGAGCTTCTTTTGCTCAATGCTAGCACTCCACCACTTGAACCACAGCACCACTTCCAGCTTTTTCTGTTTATGTGGTACTAAGGAATCAAATCCAGGGCTTCATGCGTGCTAGGCAAGCACTCTACCACTAAGCCATATTCCCAGTCTCAATTTTTTTAATTGAGCAAAGGATCTAAATAAACATTTTTTCCAAACAAAATGCACAAATGGCCAGTAAGCACATGAAAAAAATGCTCAACACCTTAGCCATCAGAGAAATGCAAATCAAAAATACATAGAGAGTACTTGATACCCACTAAGATGGCTGTGATTAAAAACAATTTTTTTTTGAGCCAGATACCCATGGTTCATGCCTTTAACCTAGCTGTTGGGAGGCTGAGAACAGAAAGATCATAGTACAAGGCCAGCACAGGCAGAAAAGTTAGTAAGATTCCCCTCTCCACCTACATTTGGGTGCAGTGGCACTTGCCTATTATCAAAAATTACCTAGGAAGCTGGGCTTGGGAGGATCGGAGTGCAGGGCCAGCCTGGGCATAAAAGTCTGTGAGATTCTATCTCTGATAGAAGCTGGACATGGTAGCACATGCCTGTGATCCCAGTGATTACAGAAAGCCTAATGTAGAGTAGAGCTAGATCAGCCCAAGTATACACCCAAGTGGAAAGTGAGATCCTTCCCCTCCTCCTTGCCTCCCGCAAAAAAAAAACAAAACTGAAAAACAGGATCTGGTATGCTCAGTGGTATCAATAAGCTCACATCTCAGTACTAGGGGGGAAAAAAAAGAAAAATACATAACATAATATATATTCATCAGTGAGGATGCAGAAAAACTGGAACCCTTACACATCACTGGTAGGAATGTAAAATGGAAGTGCTTCAGACTATGAGTCTACTTTTCAAGCAGTGAAACATGTTGTTATATAACACAGAAATTCCACTCATAGGAATATAGACCAAAAAAGTGAAATATACATTCCCACAAAAACTTGTAAACAGCTGAGCATGATGGCACTTGTAATCCCAGCACTCAGGAGACAAAGGCAAAGACTGAGTTCACGGCCAGCCTGGGCTACATAATGAAACCCTGACACAAGACAGAACTTGCAAACAAGTATTAACCAATTAGTCAAAAAAATAAACATCCCAAATGTCCATCCACGGATGGACATACATAATGTGGTAGATTATTTAGACATAAAAATGAAAGGATACATCACAATATGAACCTTGAACAAGTGAAAAAGGTCACAAAAGACCACATACTCCACTTACATGCAGAATCCCCAACAGTTGTTCTCTATAGAACCAAAAAGTTGATCGATGGTTGTTCGGTGCAGAGACTAAGGAGATGGGTAATAGGATGGGATGTTAGTGAAACTGTGCAGGGCTTTGAGAAAGGTGTTGCCATGTAACTATCAATCCTTCTACTGCTGACTTCCAAGTGCTGGGACTACAGTAGTTACCACACCACCTCACTAAGTTGGGACTTCTTCATAAATATTTAAAACTTATGATATTGATTTTACATTATCTGTAAGTATACTAAAATTCACTGAAGTGCACACTTTAAATGAAATGTATAGTATATAAATTGTATTTAATAAACCAATCAGAATGGACCATGTTAAAACTTTAGATCAATCAGTCACTTAAATACCAGAAGCACAAATAAAAAAAAAAAGCACCCAATCTTTTGATTTATTTGTAACTGTAATACTAAAGTGACAAGTCTGAACATCAAATGCCCTACACTATCACCGTTTTTCCTAACAATTTTTTTTCTGTCATATTCTCTTAGTAGCCGCTTGTCTCCTCTTGTACCTGTCTGACACAGTCTCACCACAACAAGCCATAGACAGCCTTCGAGATGTAAGAGGATCTGGGGCGATCCAGACTATTAAAGTAAGGAGCTCAAAAGTTCCTGTTTGCTTGGTAGGATAGTATAATATACAGCCAGGGCACCACAATGAAAATCCAACACATGCTTACTTCAGACACACCTGTTTTTTAATTTACACTTAAAACAGAACTCACAAGTCTGCAAAAGCCCACAGTATTTTAAGCAAAATGGTGAAAAAATTTTAACTTCCCACCTTCCTCTTCCAGGGTCTACTATTGTTCAGTTTTTGCCCATCAGTTCTGGGAATAGATCCTCTCAATCAGAATGGGACGGGTGGTTGCTATAAACTTGGTACTTTCTTGGGAAGATTTTTTTTCAGAAAGCTCTAAATAAGATCCTATTATGCCACTGAATCACTTAACAAAGCTGGATTAATGGTGTGCTTGGTTTTTTCTTAAATGTAAAGCAGTACTCATTGTCTTTTCTGCTGTGGATAACAAATGTGGCATCTTCCACATAGGAATGAAGAACCTTTTTTCTGCCAAGGGCCATTTGGACATTTATAACTTCATTATGGCCATACAAAATGATCAGTACAGGCAGGTAACTGTGGGCAGCAGTAGAACCATATGTCTGTCCCACAATGTGCCAAATGATTGTGGCTCACAAAGCTGACTCCTGAGAACACTTCAGAAACAGCATGGAGCCACCTCGTACTCATACACTGTTTTGTAGAATGGGAACTTCTTTGTACAACTACTTAAAAGATAATAAAAATATGTAAAAAAAAAAAAAAAACAAAAAACACAGAGCAATGCCAAGGATATTATTGTAGACTGTTACCAACACAGCTCTGCAGTTTCCCTTTACTTCTAGGACTATAGAGCTAGTGTGCCTTCCTTCCTCAAGTATCCTGTCCAGCTTTCCACTGGACCACACAAAAGAGTGGGTGTTAAAAGAATCTTGGCCTTTAGGCAGAGATGATTTTAAGAGTCTATCTTCCCTGGGATAACATGTTCAGTGAATCATTACAATTACTGCTAAATGATTCTCCAGGCTATTTAAGTCAGGTCATTCACAAAACATTCCATATAGGAGCCACTGTACAATTTTTAAAAGGACAAGTTATTATGTTAAAAATCAAATGATGCTTCAGATTTTTCTCTTTGAAACACATGGTCAAATACGTGTATGAACACACATTTTATACTGCTAATACTGGAAAAAATGAAGCTTGCATTAGTATGGGCTGCAGCTGATTACCCTGGGCATTCCATGTCCAACAGGTTTTAACCTACTGCTAAGATAGGTTAGCAGTACGTGGCCAGCATGGGATTGGGATGAAATGAGATGACCAGCTATCCTTTGGGAAGCTACTCAAATTCCAAATCATTCCATGCTTTTATTTTGCCTATCTGCTAAGATTAATGTTTATTTTTTAATGTCTATGAAAATTGTCCCAAAGATTGTGTGATCACAAAAAGCACTCTAGGGCTTCTATAAATTGAGAAATAGATTTTCTTGAGCATGCCACTGTTAATTACTACTGAAGATATTCTCTCCTCCCTATTCTGAAGGGGAAAAAAATGCTATTAAAAATAATGCCTGGGAGGGAGGTGGGAGGAGTTGGGGAGGAAAGTGATGGTAGGGGAAAATAGGAGGTAACAATGCTTGCTATGAAATGTACTCATTACCCTATTCATATAAATGTAACCCCTCTGTACACTTTTACAATAAAAAAAATACTAGCAACAATCAAAAAAAAAAATAATGCCCTTATTTACTTTTAATCTTATTTGGCCCTGCCGTAGAAAGGCTTCTACAGAATTATAAAATTTTCATCTGAATTTTATGCTACCTTCAGATCTTTAGAGATTTTAACATCAATAGTTATTCAACTGTAGACAACTTTATTTCAGGATAAAACTGCCCTAGGTTGCAAATGCTTCTTACCAAAGATGTAAAATTGTTCTTAGCAAATGAATATATATATATATGTGTGTGTGTGTGTGTGTGTATATATATATATATATATATATATATATATATATATATATATATATATATATATACCTACTGATACCTACTATGGCAACTAGTTTTCTACGTGGTACTTCAATGTCTCTTTACTTTTTTTCAGCAATATAATTATCTTCATGAGTTCCGGGACAAATTAGCCTCCTATCTATCAACAAGAGAGTCACTGTCAAGATCTGTGTCAAGATGACGAATTTCAAATAGCTTATATATGACCATGTCTGAAATTTAAAATTCCTCTAGTATAATCTATACAGAAATAAGACAACTCATGATATCTCCTTGAATGTAAATGTTTATGTGCAGATATTCCTAAAGTTTTTATTGACAAAATTCACTGTGTTGATTCCATCTCTCAAAGAAGGGGTAAAGTGGTAGTTTTCCTTTTAGAAATGTACTGCCCTGTTAGCCACCAGTGGTTCATGCCTGTAATCATAGGTACTCAGGAGGCTGAGATCTGAGATTTGTGGCCCAAAGCCAGCCAGAGCAGGAAAGTCCGTGAGACTCACCAGTTAACCACCAAAAAGCCAGAAGTGGAGCTATGGCTCAAGTGGTAGAGACCTAGCCTTGTGCAAAAAATCTCAGGAACAGCTCCTAGGCCCTAAGCAATATGCCCTAGGACCAACACTTAAAAAAAGAAAAAAAGCCAGGCAATGGTGGCTAACACGTATAATCCTTGTGACTCAGGAGGCTGAGATCTGAGGATGGAGAGTTTCAAAAAGGCCAGAAGTGGAGCTAAGTGGTAGCATGCTAGCCTTGAGCTCAAAAGCTGCAGGGATAGTACCCAGGCTGAGCTTGTGCGCACGCATACACACACACACAGGAGCGAGCACGTGAGAAAAGATGGGAAATATTTTCACATTTTTATTATTACCCAATTTTGCTTTGTTCTAGTTAGCATATGACATAGCAATGTATAAGGTTTTGTGTTAAGTACCCCCCCCCTTTTTTTTTTTTTGCTGTTATTAGAGCCAAGCCACTTGTTTTAAGAGATCGCACTAGTCTATCACATACTGGTCCCAGGGATCTCTCAGCTACTGGTACAGGATGCACCAGTTGTCAGCTGGATATTACTATTAGGCTGGAGACTCATAAGTAATTCATTTGAATACCTGTAAGATGATTAAAAACCTTCCTTGGCCCTACTTCTTGCTGAGGAACCACTTGAATTTCTTTAGGGAACACAAACAATTATTCATGCTATTTGGGGACTTCCTAAGTGATAAGCCTTCTAGATCCAAATGTTTAACTAAATTTTTAGTATCAACTATACAGGAAAAAGATCAGTAATTTCGTATCAGAGAAAACTAGGGGATTACCCCTGAAATAAACTTTTCTAGTTACATTTAATATTTAATACCTAATTCCAATCTTTTATGAAAAGTATTTCCTCTGCTTACCTGTGGACATCTCCAAAAACAGTGGGACTGAGGGAGGCAGAAAGAAAATCTAGAGTCCTGGTCATACACAAGCCAGTTAGCTGCATTTGAAATTAACACACTGATTGAACCATTATCATAAACTACACAAGGAAATACTTGAGATTATTTTTATTAAATATACAAAAGCAAAATAAGCAAGCTCTAAGAAATAGGACTACTTAAGTGCATTTTCTTTGGACAGTTGAACAGCACCATCAAGCTTAGATTTAACAAACCATGGGCAAAGATAGCAAACTGCATTTTATGTTACTCTTAACAGTGTTGTTAAGAGTTTACTTAGCCATCAGTCCATTTTTCTTCTCCAGAATACATTAACATGGTAACCAAAGAAACTTAGAAAAAGCATTGTACAACACAAAACGGGAATACAAGATGCAAGTCATTCCTTTGTGTGTCAAGATGCTAGGTCTTCTCCAATGTGCATTAAACTGATGCAAGACAAAACACACTCTGACCCCAGACTAAACACCCTACATGGTTGGTACTACTTCCCAAAGCAAACTGAAGAAGCAGCACTTACTCCTTTTAGACACTTAGCTTTAGGAACTTTAGTCAATATAGAAATTGTTTAATGTATCCACAAACAGAGCCATACTTTTCCTCTTAGCCTCACTCTGGGATCTTATTCAGAACCATTTCCTAAGCCACAATACTAGAGACAGATTCAACAGCTGCTAGTCTGATCCACAGATCAATGATTATTTGAGACTAATATAGTAGTTTCAAATGCCAGTCAAGGGATTGTTATTTTTCCATTCCCTCTAAAATGAGTCTTGCTTTAGAATATTTTTGTCATCACAATTTCTGACCAACAGTTACACAATTGAGAGATGTGTATTTGTGGATACTAAATGACAAATAATTGGATATGTATACTTTTTAATACATACCATTATTTGAATTGGTTTGAAATAGTATTATGATATATTCACAACTTAAATCAAAAGTTGACCCCTGAAGGGGAGAAGAGATACACAAAAATTATCAGTTGCTCCATGGCCAAAGTACTCTATGAACACATAATTGGAGAAATGTTATATCAAAGAAAACATTTTGCCACCCTTTTTAAGGGGGAAGGGGAATGATAGAACTCATGGCCTGCTCTTACCACTTGAACCATACCCAGAGCCTTTGCCAATTCCAAAGCAGTTTTATTTATGCATTAGACCTATCTTCAGAATACATAGTTTTGAGGAATACAGAAGAGCTGTGTGACCGCTATATACCTGATCCTTCCCCGGCATTTGAACCTGACTGAAAAGCTTGGCTGTTCCAGGTGTACTTGATGAAGCTTTGCTTACTAATACTCATACAAGCCAACGATTATCTATTATTTCCCTTTCCCATGAAAAGTAATTCAAATTTCAAACAAATTAGCAGTTTGTAGTCTAGTACCAAATTCTTCCCTAACCTGGGATGAGGAGTAAGAGTATCAGTTAACCATGGTGAAAACCATCAGATGTCATTTCAGAAAAAGGTATTTAATAGTTTCCACCCCTATATCTCCTAAGTACTCAAGGGGCCCACTGCCATGATACAGTATTACTCAACTGAGTAACTACGAAGCAGGCGTTATTATCTAAGATTTTAATTCAGGAAAATCTGTACTAATCCATAGCAGTAATTGTTGTTATAAACAGAACTACAGAGTTATACTAGATGAAATAAGATAGCACAAAATGGGGAAATGGTTTCTGAGAGCTACAGACCTGATAGATAAAATGTAGTACATATCAAAAGTACAGTAAAAAGGAAGGGTGCTTAAACAACTATCCACTGTACAATGTGAGCGTGTGACAAACTGAAAAGGCCGACTATGGCTAACCAGGCTAACTGCCTCAGCTGAACTTCCAGGAATGACAAAAGACGAGGGCCATCCCAAATACATTAACGTAGGGAACAGGTTAAATTCAGAGCCAAGGAAAGAGTGAGTGGGATACTGTCAGATGCAAGTACTTTGTTTCTGCTTACTTGTCTGACACTAAAAAGGCAAAAATGAGTAGGAATAAGCATATTTAGCTACTTAATCTAATGACATACCTAGGAGTTAATAACCTACAAGTGAGATGGGTGAACCTAATTGTCAATGTGTGAGAAATCTGATTTTGAAAGCATGAGAATGTGACTTCCAGCCCATAAACTTGGCATTGATATTGGAGAAAATTCAAGAACAGATTAACAGGATGGTTGTTGAAAATCATGAAGTGTGTCTTCTTTGAAAGAACAGGAATACAAAAACTTAGGAAATCAATCTGGACTGTTGACAGGACCAGGTAGGTCTGTCATGATCAACAGTACTTGTGAATGAGAACGGAAAATTAGAGTAGCTGCTGATATAGATAGGATAGAAACTGACTGCCTAGCAAATGTTCAATAAATAATTTACAGCCTAACCTGAAGAACAGTCAGTTCCCTCTAGGTGTTCCTAGACTATAAATTACAGGCCTTCCTTTTAAAATGTCTGAACAATTTCTCCTTAGGTTCTATCATTTCTTCTTGAGTGTATTCATCCCAGTTACCCAATCCCCAGATGGTAACATCTCTTCTCCCTAAGACAGTATTATCTCTTCCCTAGGGAAGCATCATTTCAAGCATTTTTTCACTAGTAGAGAATAAAACAACAATACAAGAAGTTCTTAGAACAAGACCCCTACAAATGCATCTATGAACTCCCTTGATCACTCACTATGTGAATTTATATTTTTTTCCTTTGATCCTTTGCTAAATATCTGAGCCAGTTATGTTTTCAAGTGCCCTGAATTCCTCATCTTAAATAAAGGACGGGAATGCTTATAAAACATGCAAGCCATACTTTGACTACCTCACAAGCAACAGCAGAAACTCAAATTATGAGTCACTTTACCTTAACCAAAAAGAAAAAACTCAAAAGTATTTCAAGTGCCACAATCACTTTTGAAATTAGTGGGAGAAATGCTGCTATACCATCAACAGTAAAAATTCTTCTCCTATGATAACAGATTGTGGTTGGCCATTTCAGATCCTATCAGAGTATATTTAAGGAAAAAAATAAAGTAATACTCTACCTTTTAAAAGGACAGTAATATGTCTTTTATTATTGGATGAGCAAGTGAGAAATAGCTGTGTGTAATCTTTGAAACAATGCACTGAAAATGAATCTTAATTTGAGTGTTTTATTGTATTGCACTAAAGGAACAGCAAGATGGTTATACAATTCTCTCTCAATTCGCTTTGAAAACCTAAAGTACTTGCAAATTCTTAATACCTTTACCACCAGATTAGAACAGTAAGCGTAATATAACCAATTTCTTAACAAGTAATGTCTTACAAATAAAAACACATTTAAAATAGCTTTAAATGCATTCTTCACAAGTAATTCAGTATATATTTCTATATCATGTTCGCTTATGCTTAAGAATTAAAGCAAGTATAGTAAGTACTCTGATGGAAATATGGAAAATCTCTCATTCATGCAATATACAGGGATAATATTCAAGTCAAAGGGAAAAAATCCCATTCTTCTTATTTTTGTAAATGTATCCATATATAATCATCTACACGATAAATGAGGAAAACGAAATAGTTTTCCACAAGTCAGATACACATTTTCAGCTCATCAGAAGCACCTGATATCTACAGCTAACTTATTAGATGGCATTTCAATAAAACCAAAATGGCATTTCAATAAAACCAAAAGAGCCCTACAAGTTCCTATAAACAAAAGGTTCCAATGGACTAAGGACCATCAGTAATTAATGCAATCATTTGGAGGATTATGGCTGTTCCTTAAGGAGTGCAAGTTCAAACCTGTCAATACCAGAGGTAATCATTTTATATTAATTTATACGTAATTCCATTTAAATTCTTTATCCAAGTATAACATATGAAAACAGTCTTTCCACAAGCAAAAAA